ATGTCTGATAAGGCACCAGGCTCGGGAATGCCAATATGTCGTCTGCTGGTCTTCATGTTCTGCTGTGCATGGCCCGTACGTGGACTAAAACCACTGGAAACAGCTGTAAAGTCACAAGCGAAAGTTCTAGAAGACACAGTGGCCAAAGAGTTAATGAAAGCAGTAGATAAACACTTCGAGAAACTGACATCTCGGATTGCAACTTTGGAGAACACCCTGTCCAGCATGCAGTTTTATTCCATCAGACAGTTCAATCAAATCAGCGGAAGCTTACAGAGTACGAACAATGACTTGGGGACTGTCAGGAAACAGGTTCTGAGACACACTTGAAATAGACGGACACAAGACAGATATAGGAACAAGAGGCGGACAGTGACACTGGTAACCATGGCAAGACATACTTAAAATAGTATAATATGTGACAGATATAGGAACAAGAGGAGAACTGTGACACTGGTAACCATGACAAGACACACTTGAAATAGACGGACACAAGACAGATATAGGAACTAGAGGCGGACAGTGACACTGGTAACCATGGCAAGTCACACTTAAAATAGTATAATATGTGACAGATATTGGAACAAGAGGCGGAAAGTGACAACGGTAACCATGGCAAGACACTCTTAAAATAGTATGATATGAGACAGATATAGGCACAAGAAGCGGACAGTGACACTGATAACCATGGCAAGACACACTTAAAATAGTATGATATGAGACATAGATAGGAACAAAAGACGAACAGTGACACTGGAAACCATGGCAACATACACTTGAAAAAGACGGATTTCAGACAGACACAGTTTACAAGGTTGGAGACACGCAGTAAAATGATAAACTATATATAAAATAAAGGTACAAGACAAAATAATATACGGCATAGCGACACATACATATATCACCAGACTGACAGAGACATTCTAGCCTAGAAATGTCTGTGTTTGTCTTTCAATTTGTGTTTAAAAATTATTTGTATTAGAAGATTTTAATGTACGAATAATGTCTTAGGGCCTGATAGGAATAAAATTGTCAGAGAAAAAACTTGAAATAGAGAAACATAAGACAAGTATAGGCCCACGAGGTGGGCGAAAATATCGTCGATAACCATAACAAGACACACTGAATTAGAAGGACAAAAGGCAGATAATAACCAACAACGTGGAGGTAGAAATGCTTAACCATGATAACTAAGATACAAATATAAAACAACAAAAATGAAGTTATGTTGTAGAAATGGGTTTACTGAGTAAAGGTTTTGACAGTTTTTAATAAATGGTTCTGACAACCTTAAATTTAAAAAAAAAAAAAGAAAACCTGCGAGATGACAAAGACAAAAAATAACTGGAAATTAGGTGAGCCACTATAGGGCAAAAAAACCATGAGTGATTTTAGCTATTTGTTCTTTCCACAGTTCTCTCTTGCTTAGGATTTGTTCACATATCACTTCGCCATCATGTTTAGAACTGTTTGACCCATCACTTTTTTTATTTGTTTAGAAGACCGTTTCATCAGACAGCAGCCTTTGCTTTCTCTGATCTTAGTTCAGCAGAGTTTAATTAATTTACCAATGCACATATTGCAAGTAACAGATATTGATTTAATCTGTGGTTTTAGCTATTATCCCGAAGTTTGTAGAGAGTGTACTTTGAGATACATTCATCCGGCTGATAAAGTAGTTATAACCCTAGGCTCTCATTCACGAAACTGAAGTTGGTGCTCGGTAAAAGTAAAGTAAAGGACTTTTTTCTACACTTTCAGTTGATTGGGAATATAGGGCTAGACCTATATTTTATAGACCTGTCGGCCCTTAGTGTGTGACGCGGCCACCTTTACCTCCTAGGACTGTACCTTGTACCTACTCCAGGCTGGGTCAAACTGGGAGCCAAGGCCATTTTTTTTAAAAAAAATCCTGCCTCTATCAGAACCCGAACCCAGGACTTTCCCATCCGCAGACGAGCTTCTTGCCGCTACAGTAACTCCGCGTCCTCGGTAAGGGATGGAGATTTTTTTTTCCTATTTAGGGCAAAAATAAAGGTTCGTCCCTGCAAAGTTCTCCAGCGACTGCACTAGACATGCAGCTTTAAATCCTCAGACTGCCGACCCTTCTGGTCTACATCTCATTAAAGTGGAACATACAGGTAGCTGATTAAAAAAAAATATGGAAACATTTCTAGTGCAGTTAGCTAAATCAAAATATGTTTAGCTCTTTCCTTTGGATTTGCATTTTCAAGAGTCAAGGCTTCAAAGTCACCATCCGACATCCTGGTGCTAACAGGCGCGACGCCATGAAGAAAACATAGGGGAGGGGGGCGGTAGTTCAGCCCCCTAATAATTTTCTAGTGAACATCGGGCTCACGGGAGTTAGGCCTTGTTTAATTGAGCATTAGTAATTTTTTTTCTACCGAATGTTAAATTGTTCGTTTTTTTTTTTTCTTAAAACTGTTGATACAGTCCGTTTTCCAATCGTTTCTGTTTTTTCTTATCCCTTATATTCCATTTGCTGTTTATCTGCAACCTCTGTCAATTAGTTTTTCTATTGCATTAAACTTGCCTTCCACGTCTTTAAGGGTTTTCAATCTTTCGCTGGCTTGTGTTAAAACTGAAATAACATACGAATTAATAAAAATGTAGCTTAGTTTTAATACTATAAACTTTAAAGTGTTATGTGTTGTTCAGACTTTTAAAAGCTGCTTTGCTTGACCAGTGCGAATCTGTTTGGTTTCTTTGTGTGCCTTTGGCAGGTAAACTGATGTATTGCTTGAATTATTTCTATATCCTGTATCCTTTCTGATTAGCTTTTATTGTCTTCAGTATATTAATCTACTCATAAATGATTTCTAACGCGTCTGTTGCTGCCTCGCCATCTGTTCTTCTCGGCATATCATCGCTGCTTTTAACCAGTAGAATAATATAATCTTCAAAATTCATGTTCTCAAACTGTTTTTTTTTTCTCACTAGGTTAATGCCATAATTTCCTGCACACACTTTTTCTTTCTTGCTCTGTTATCATCGTGTGTCTAAGTTGGCACTGTTAAAAGAATGAGTACATAGACTACATATTGTGTCAACTCTGTTCTTTTATATTTTATACGAGTTCCAAGAGTAATTTACACATCAACTTATTGTTTTATCAATTTTTAAGACTTATCTACATTTTTATAAACACTCATCTTTAAAACGGTTATTAGAGACTTCAAATATCCATGTAAATTAACAAAACGATGATCTTCTTTAGGTCAGCCAAATGGAGATCGATGGTCGATCTCAGAAAATTGGGCTCAGTTTGCTGGGCCGGGAGATCTCTGAGCTCAAGAAGGGCACATCCGACATGCTCAGTGAGTTAGAATCTAGCATGATATATGTACATGAGAACATTGACAAGCAGGACAGCCTAATTAAGGCCGTTTTAGAAGAAACAGTGATCCAGACAGCTCGAGAGACCACGGCCCAAATTTCTAAACAAATGGAAGAGATGCTTCTCAATGCTGAAGCAATGCAGGTAAGCTGAGAAAATAAGTCACGTGTGTTAATTACCACGACTGTATAAATGAATGTATGTGGAGCAAGCATGCGAATGAAAGTATGCGAATGAATGATGGTTAGGCAATTACGAGATTCAAAGTATGGGAATGAAAGGCTGAAAAAAAAAAAAAAGAACATTCAAGAAAAATAGATTTATATTATAGATAAAGATACGGTACTCCTTTTAAAGCACACTAAAATAAAAGTTAAAAGCTGATAGGAAACATAAAAATTGAGCGATATAAGTCGGAAGATGAATTTAAAAGATTGGCCAACAACGGCATCTGTTTTTCAGATTATGTAACTAAGGATAGAGATAATCTGCTGGACAACGATAGCAATAAATCTGCATTTTGAAAATGGCACCTTATCCACTTAGTATATCTCTTGTGTCATTAAATACTAACATAACTAACTTACACTGAAGGTGGACATTTTCATTATGATGGCCCTATGATTGTACATTTCGTTATGTGACAATGTGACTGTACTATGAAAAAAAAATAATAATAAAAAAATTAAAAATAAGTTAACCTTATTAAAGTTCATTTGCTTATTCAGTCATTCATTCATTCGTTCGTCACAAACTGGATGCGCAAGCTGGTCTGAAATTCGACTTTTCCAGCCATCATATTTCCATAGAGTAATTGTATTTTATGTATAATGCATGCTATTTTCATTTAGCGTCCTCTTCCAAACTATTTATGTATTCTACTTAGCTGAATACGGATCAAATACCTGTGAACATATTCTTTACTCTATACAAATGGCCTAAAGAGGTGTATGGTCCTATAAATGATTTCTTTAATATTTTACACTAAAAATTATAGAAAAATAAAATATCAATTATCTTTAGAATTGTAAACGATGCGTCTGAAAGATGTACATTTTATCACAAATCAATTTTCCCTGACCTATTAACTTCTATCATTTTGTCTATTACGATTATGGTTAGCAAGTAATGAACCCGTTTCCCGACAGTGGTCCTTAGTGTTAGACTCAAAATGTTTTTATAGACTAATAAGCACTCGATCGGTGGGAGTTAAATTTATGCAAGCTGCCTTTACTTCCCAGAATATTTCTCAGTAATCATTTTAGGCTGGGTCGACCTGCACTACGATTATATATCTCCTATAACTGTGTTTTAAATTTTTTGTTTAAACCATGCTGATATATTTCTTTCCGCGGATGCTTACAGTTGTGCTTTTTTTCAGGCGAAACTGGTCAATTGTTCTGTTGATTTCTCTAGCGTCATCGAGCACGTAGATCTCCGCTTCTTAGAGCTGAAAAAACAAAGTCATGCTCAGCTTTTGAAACAAATAAACAGTGTTAAATTAGATCTGAAAAAGAACATGTGCCCTTATGGGGACGAACGCAGCCCTCACAAGGAAAGGCTTACATGTGACTGTAAGAATGTATCTGGAAAGATTATAGAAACAAGTTTATACAACAATCTTACTAAACACACTGATAAAGTGGGTAGAACAGAAGATATAACAACTCCTAGTAAAAGGCTTATAACACCAGACACAAGCAGACATGTGAGCTCATCCACTGAAATTAACGTACCATATAAGACAACACAAATGTTCAGCGAGATGGAAGATCTAACAACTGAAAAAGCCACACATGAAAAAGGGTTTACAACCACGTTACCTAAAGTCACATCAACCTTTACCAGTACACCAGAGTATGAATCAACCCAAAATAACAGATTAGATAAGCTTTTTACTGAACGCAACAAATTACAAGAGCTGTCGACTCAAAGCAACAGATTAAAAAAGCTATCCTCTGAGTACAACAGACTGAATGAACTATCCACTCAGTACAGCAGATTAGATGAATTACCCTCTCAATACAACAGATTAGATGAACTATCGACTCAAAGAAGCTTTTTTGAAGATACAGCTGTTACCACCAGTCGTGGGGATGTTTCAACTCAAGCAAGCAGCCCTGACTATCCCGCTCACATTCCCCAGGATGGGAGCAGAACTGCTCAAGCTGAGGACGATGAGAAGATTATGCAGGCTCTCTACAACATGACTACCAGTGTTCTTCAAGCTGTGAGTTATTTTCGCAATACCGGTAGAATGATGGAGCAGATTTTATCTAATACAGACATGCTGGTGGTGAAACAACACCAAAGACTAGATGATGGCAGCGTCAAAGGTCCTGTATCTTCAAACTATGGAGACTATGATTCTGCTAACGTGATTCCTGGTTCTGATCATGTGGAAGGACATCAGAGGTACGACAGCCAGTCATCTGCAGCAGAGAGTAGCCTTTCCAGAAACATACTGGAGAACGTTGCTACTTTAGTGGCAAATAGCAGTCAGTTGTTAGAGGTAAGCAAATAATAGAATGTCATTCTGTCTTATTTTTATTTTTTAACTTAAAAAGTATACTTTACTCTTTAAATAATGAAGCATTAGCTGTAATCGTCATAATTCTCTTCAAGTACCTGGTAGGGGCAGATGGTGGCTAGAACGACTCTCCGTGTGCCAGTGTCAACAAAAATGTTATTCAAGTTGATAATATAATAACGTTATCTTTTTCCCTCCTAACATTTCAGCACACAGTATGAACTAAGCTAATTTATTGTTTTTGTTTGTAATATCTGAGCTGTATTATTTTGGGATTTTTATCAAGATTGCAAAGTTCTTTTGTAGGTATTTCTCAATGGTTGAGGAACGCCTGGCCGAATGGTTAGAACGCTGGGCTCTCAAGCGGGAGACCCGGGTCGGATACTCGGTAAGGCTGGGTTTTTTTTTTTTTTCTGTCGGTGGCAAAATAAAATGCTTACCTGCACAGTCGTGGCGACAGCACTAGCCATGCGGCCGTAAACACTTAGGCTTAAAGACATGCTCAGCTTTTGAAACAAATAAACAGTGTTAAATTAGATCTGAAAAAGAACATGTGCCCTTATGGGGACTAACGCAGCCCTCACAAGGAAAGGCTTACATGTGACTGTAAGAATGTATCTGGAAAGTTTATAGAAATAAGTCTACACCGCAAAAGTAGTATCATAAAATCAGTTGGCCAAATGGTTTCTGATTTTTGCGTCTAATTTTAAGTGATGCCATAATTATGTGGCGTCAATAATTCCTTTCTTCCTCGTATTTATTACTGTAGATTGTAAACACCATTTTAAAAAAAAAAAGGTACAGAAGAGACACTCTCTTAAAAAAAAAAAAAAAAACGAAATTAGGAGAATAAAATGTCCAGTGGAAAAGGCAAACAATATAGCATGTATATAAAAAACGCGCAGCATTTTCTCTACGTTAATGTAAGTTGCTGAACAAGCACCGGAAATTTACTTCTTCTTCTTGTTTTGTCAAAATCTGCTTGTGCCGCTAGGCGTCGCAGTCTATCAGATGATCGGCAACCGAGCCAGGGCGCGCTCACTCGCTTCATATGCCGTGATGTTATGAAGTCTCATGCTGTCCGTGACTCCTTCAATCCATCTTCTTCTTGGTCTTCCCCTGCCTCTTGGTGTTTCGATTTTCATGTTGTATGCTCTTGATGCTGGCATCGTTGGTTCCATTCTCATTAGGTGACCAAACCATTTCATTCTTTGCTTCTCAATAAATGTAACGATGGGTATGGTTCCAATAGTTCTTGTAATCACATCGTTTCTCACTCGATCTCTTCTGGTTTTATTCGCAGCCATTCTCAAACATCTCATTTCACAGGTGGTTAGTCTTCTCTCGTGTTCCTTTGTTAATGTCCAAGTCTGACATTGATAACCTAATGTCGGTATAAAGATGGAAATGTACTAACAGTAATTAATTCTACATCTTCTTTGAGTACACTGGCTGTAAATATAGTGTTTGATCGTCCACTTCTGGACTTTAGTCTGGTTCCGGAACGAGTGTTGCATACATATCTGTTTTACACGCAGCTTATTTATATGCAGACTGCTGGTTCTTTGCCTCACAGGCCAAACTTTTTCGAAGGAAACCCCTATTTAGTCGACTCTTATGACAAACTTATTAGGGAGACAGTGGGTTTAACTTGTTTCTCCCATAAGGGGCTACGGAACCCACATGGGAAGTGAGAGTAATTACAATAGTCTATACTTTTCAATAAAAACAGTTTATATTTGTATAGACTATTCAGAACTCGATGGGTAATGTGGTTGGTATCGTGTAGGCTGCGTCTACACTCCGGAATGTTCTAATCTTTGGCTAGGACATTCCAACTAAGGCTAAGTCGAACCATGAGCATACGAAATTCTAACACAAGGAGATGTAAATACATAATTAGCTGGACAGATAGGTAATTAGCTGTGTGGATCGTCTTTCTGATCTTGCTATATCTATCATACATGAAAGTGCTATTTTTTCTTTAACTGAAATAGTTAATTAGAATCGGTTTGCCTAAAATCTGCTAGATATTTTATTTAATCGCAGGTTATAATTGATATGCATCCATTTGACTAAGATTTATTTAATTAGTTCACAGGTCGTAACTGATCTGCAACAGATTGTCTACGATTTCTAAAGTAATTTGCCGGTTATGATGTCTTTGCATCAGATTAACAACGATTTATTTCATGATTTCACAGGTTATAACTGATCTGGCTCAGATGAGCTCTGTGTCTCTGATCAAGGTCACGTCTGTCTTGGAGGACGAAGTGAAGCGTCTAGAAGGGTTGAGGACGCACATGGCAACTACTGTCTTAAACAGAGTCTCAGAAAGCCAGGCAGAACCTGTCCATACACTCACTAACGCCACGCAGAGAACTTTCAAGCTGGTTGAAGCTGTTGCCTCTAACACAGGATGGATTCCGTTAATCTTTCACAGCGTCCAGCATCTTGAATCTCTAGCAAATCGTTCATTAAATGTTGCAACACAAAGTCAGAAGATCATAAGTCAGGTTCAACAAACGATGACCAACGGGGATTCCAGTAAGAAAGCTGGTTTGATCAAGGATGATCCCATAATCAGCAACAGGATACCTCGCACACTTGGCCAAGTAGAATCTCCACCTAATAAAAACACATCTTTGAAATCTGAGGATATCCTCAACAAAGCTTATTTTGAAACAATCCACAGCACCAGCCTGCAGCTGAAGAGAATCATGCCTGCCTTGACCAAGTTGTTGTCTGAACGTGGTAAGTGTTTTAATGTCATATCAAACATTGTTGTTACACTTATTTTTTAAACGGGTTAGTCGTTACTCAGTGTTTCAGCATCGCTGCAAACGGGTCACGCCTTAACCGTTGCCCAGTTCGCATAAAATGACATTCACTGTCCCATTTCAAAACTAGTGAAAAACTTATGGGTCACAGTAAAATCTTCAAGCTCGCACATGCAAAGTAAAACTACATAAGGCAGCTGTCACATGCGCCAACACTAACGGTCTCACACCACAATTGCAACTTAGTTAAAGTGCAAAAGGCCAATCACGAAAGCCCACATTGCACATGCAAAACTACGCTTCATAAGAACAGGATTCGCCATTTGGTGCAGACAACGCGCCATGTGTGTGCGCGCGCGCACACACACAAACAGTTCCACGTGAAAACGACAGATCACAGTGTCGCACCATCATTTGAAGGAGTTTTAACTAGTGAAGATCAATTGCATGACAAAAAGATATCGCTGCAGCATGTAATGGATGGCGAGCTCAGTATACGGATGTAAGATTAAGAAGTCATGTGCAGGATGTAAGATTAAGAAGTCATGTGCAGGATGTGAGATTAAGAAGTCATGTGCAGGATGTGGGATTAAGAAGTCATGTGCAGGATGTGAGATTAAGAAGTCATGTGCAGGATGTAAGATTAAGAAGTCATGTGCAGGATGAAATTAAGAAGTCATGTGCAGGATATGAGATTAAGAAGTCATGTGCAGGATATGAGATTAAGAAGTCATGTGCAGGATATGAAATTAAGAAGTCATGTGCAGGATATGAAATTAAGAAGTCATGTTCAGGATATGAAATTAAGAAGTCATGTGCAGGATATGAAATTAAGAAGTCATGTGCAGGATATGAAATTAAGAAGTCATGTGCAGGATCTGGGATTAGGAAGTCATGTGCAGGATGTGAGATTAAGAAGTCATTTGCAGGATGTGACATTAAGAAGTCATGTGCAGGATGTAATATTAAGAAGTCATGTGCAGGATGTAAGATTAAGAAGTCACGTGAAGGATATGAAATTAAGAAGTCATGTGCAGGATATGAAATTAAGAAGTCATGTGCAGGATATGAAATTAAGAAGTCATGTGCAGGATGTAAGATTAAGAAGTCATGTGCAGGATGTGAGATTAAGAAGTCATGTGCAGGATGTGAGATTAAGAAGTCATGTGTGCAGTGAGGATGTGAGATGTAAGATTAAGAGTCATGTGCAGGATGTGAGATTAAGAAGTCATGGAGGATGTGGGATTAAGAAGTCATGTGCAGGATGTGAAATGAAGTCATGTGCAGGATGTGAGATTAAGAAGTCATGTGCAGTGTGCATGATGTGAGGATTAAGAAGTCAGGATGTTGCAGGATGATTAAGAAGTCATGTGCAGGATATGATTAAGAAGTCATGTGCAGGAAGAAGTCATGTGCAGGATGTGGGATTAAGAAGTCATGTGCAGGATGTGTCATTAGGATATGAATGCAGGATGTGAGATTAAGAAGTCATGTGCAGGATCTGGGATTAGGAAGTCATGTGCAGGATGTGAGATTAAGAAGTCATGTGCAGGAAGATTATTCATGCAGGATGAGTATGAGATGTGCAAGAAGAAAAGTGTGCAGGATATGAGAGAAGTTCTTGTGGAGGAGAACCGAGTCGCACAGAGTTATGTATTTGTTCGACATTGAGAGAAAAAATGTATTCCGCAGGTAACCACCGTGTGTGTATATGTTTGCGTTTGTGTCTTGGGGACTAGTAAATACAGTTTCACTTTGGTACCATAGAAAATACGGGCAATGCATCTTGTTGGGTGTGTGAGTGTATGTGTGTATATGAGTGTATGTGTGTGTATGTTTGTGTGTGTGTTTGTGTGTGTGTGTGTGTGTGTTAAGGACACATTTAAATATACATGAATATCTTCATAAAGGCCACAGGCTCCGTTAACAGATCACCTAAAAAGAATCTCAGCACAGCGAAGACAATTAGCAACACAGGCGACGATCAAACTATGTGGGGGCTTCCACTGAAAACCATAAAAGCGTGTTTTAAATTACAGTAACTATGCCATTATCTTGCACCCTGTCAATATTGTTGTGAAATGAGGTACAGAGTGTTAAGCGCGTGATAAAGACTGGGATATCTTCTTTTTCACGTTCACCGGCTGTATACTCCGGCAAAAAGTTATGGTTGTTCGTTCACTTTTGGACTGCAGCCCTGTTTCAGAACCTGAGTGTTGCGTTTGCATCCGTTTAACAGATCTGACTCATTTGCGTGCAGACTGTTGATTCCTTGCCTCTCTGTCAGATGCACTCCGACTTCAAATAAAGCTCTCAATTATTCGATTCTTACGACATGCTTTTGGATAGGCAGTGGGTCTTTTCTTGTTTTCCCTGATTTGGGAAATGATCATGACAGTCTAAAGATAGCTGCACCACTTTTGACAGACACCAAAGAGGAGCAGCGTTCAGTTAAACATTCCGAGATTGGTCCAGCCCCCGGTAGTGAACCCGGGTTTAATCTCCAATAACGATTCTTGATTTTTTTTTTTTTTAAACTATCACTTTCTGATTCAGAGCATCGCATAAGTTCTTTACAAGCAACAGTGTGTCGTTGTTTTCATTTTGGCCTAAGGTGCGGCAATATAACTCACAGTAAATCAACGGATTTCCTGTAAAAAGCTCTTCAACCGCTGCAATCGACTGTGCCTTACCTGGCTGTAAACAGTATGTCACAGAAGTCGTTCTGCTTGAAACTTCCTACTTCACTCGCACACTTGCTGGACTGAACGGCATGCATCAACATACTGGCCATTCATTCACCGATAAATGTCTTTAGGGTTCACCCCTTTAATGATCTTTTTAAAAAATGAACTACAAATAAAAGAACAATGCTCCTCTTTCGTGCATATCTAAAGTGTGGCAGCCATCTTAAATACAGTTATTATGACATTGCCGTGTTTGTCTGCACTATGATTTGCGTTCGTAAATTCCGGTAGGTTTCAAGACAATGGTATGAGGATAGCAAATTTTGTTTCACATCTGATGTTTTGTTATTTAAGCCCTATTATGTACATATCAAAAATCACGATATTATAAATATATGACAAATAAAATGGAAGCTATGGACTAGCTAGGAGAATTAGTCGGTCATATAATTGCCATCTTTACATCACTGATGGGTTGCAACAAATCTCCAGATCCCTAATGTATCGCCAACATGGTTAGGCCTATCATCGTTTTCCCAGCACACCACCAGGCACTATGCTCACACTTAAAGCATTTATTCCTCTTGACGTTTGCCGATAATATCCTTGTTACCAGACAGGTTGGAAAAATACTGAAGTTATCTTCGCACGTCAGGTGCCGGTAGATATAATAGATGAGCGTTGCTCGACGACAGGTTCCATGGTCTGGCCAGATATAACATCAGTAACAAGGCGTTTATTGAATACATAATTTTTAACGATGAGGCCACAGACATTACAATAAATGCTAGCAGGATACACGGAAAGAGAGAGAGAGAGGGAGAGAGAGGAGAGAGAGAGGGGAGAGAGAGGGGGGAGAGAGAGGGGAGAGAGAGGAGAGAGAGAGCGAGAGAGAGAGAGAGAGAGAGAGAGAGAGAGAGAGAGAGAGAGAGAGAGAGAGAGAGAGAGAGAGAGAGAGAGAGAGAGAGAGAGGACACAAGAAGAGCAGATTCTTGTCAACTTTTCACTGTGACATTGAAAGGCATCAGCATTCCAACTGAATCATGATGCTTACGACTGCAGGATTTGAAGAACTGTAACCAGTCTCGCGAATCAGTAGTTGATTAACTTCACCTTAAAGTTCAAGCCGTGTGGCTATGGTAGCCATGTTTATGCACAACCTTCCGTCTCTTGTACTTTCAATCAACTCTGATACAGATGATCCTCCATGCCCTGATGTCGAACTGTCCAGCATCTTTTCTTTCGGTCTCCCTGTGCCTCACCTCCCCTCCAACTTTCCTACTGTCACGATGTATAATTCTCTCATTCTTATCACATGACCAATGTAGATGATCAGATAAATAGTTTTTCACGTAGCTAATCTCACAAATTCACCTAATGTCTATCATTTAATTCTATGCAACTGGTTATCCATCCCCGTGTAGGTTTTGGGGGGAGGGGCATAACAGACCCACTGCGAATCTAACAGGGATCTCAAAAATTCAACTATTTAGTGGTGTTTACTTCGAAGTCAGAGTGCTTCTACAGAGAACAAACAGCCTGCCTACAAATAGGCCAAACCGGTAAAACGGGTGCATACGTGGCACTCAAGTTCTGAAACAAAAGCAAAGTAGAGAAATTGGCGAACAACCAAAACTTTCTGCCGGAGTTTACACCCTGTGCATGGTAAGAAGAAGATGAAAGATACATCAGGACTGGTACTATATAGCACTAAAGAACTATCTTTCTCATTTCAAAAACCAAATGTACAGAAATGAAAAAAAAAAGTTTTTTAAATATAAGAAATACATACACATTGCCTTGGTAGGTAAGTAAAGTAAAGGTCCCTTTTCCATGCCTCTAGGCGTATAGGGCATATAGTGCTAGACCTATATATTTTATAGACCAATCGGTACATGATGGGTGTGATGTGGTCAGCATCACGGCTGCCGCCTTTACTTCCCGGGACTGCACCCCGGTACCCACTTACGGCTTTCGTCCTGGTGAAATGTTCAAGATGTTTATACACTTGTGGACTTTATTCTGTTCTAGAATCTGGGTTTACGTGCACATCCTTTTTACAAATCTGGCTTAGGTGCATGCAAACTGTTGGTTCCTGGCTTTTCGGGCAGACGCACCTCGACTTCAAAGAAAACATCGCTAAATAATAGATTCTTGCTGCATGCTTTTTTTAGGGAGCAATATGTATATTATTCTGACTACTACAATGGGACCCCAGTACCCACACAGGGATCTGGTAATGAAGTGTTGTTAGTCCAACACGAGTGATGAAGACCACTTTTCATTT